CACATCTTTTTTTTTTCAGGATTCTTTGATGAATAGAAAGTTCAAAAGAACAGCGTTTATTTGAAATGGAGATCTTTAGTAACATTATAAGTGTCTTTACAGTCACTTGCGATCAATTTAACGCATCCTTGCTGAATAAAAGCACTGATTTATTTTCAAATCTTCCCGCCAGCAAACGTTTGAACAGTAGTGTTCGTCTGGCCTGACTGGCGGCACAGATCATGCTTCAGGACTGTGAAGTCACATTGTTTTTTCCCAGATCACAGACTACACAATGCTGCCGGACACAGGGAGTCTGTCCGACCGTCTGAGGGTGTGTCTGCAGGAGGGAGACGAGAACCCGCGAGATTTCACAGCTCTGTTTGACATGTCTTTGCTAAAGCTGCACACAAACACTCTTCCCTCTGTCCTGGAGTAAGAACTGCCTTCAGTTAACATTTCTTAAAGTATGAGAGGAGAGCTTTCACTTTCAACCAAACTAACATTACTAGCCAATCAGAATTGTTTGCTCTTATAAACACGAGACACGATGAGAAGCGCGACACGAGGCGCAATGGTCAAAGATGTCCATCTAGCGCATATTTACATAGAAAAACTAATTAAAATCAGCGGAGCTTTGTAAACAGCTCAGAGTAATCATGTCATCTCCATAAGAACGATATGTTGAGTTGCATGTGGCCAAATATTAAAATTGAATGGATTCAAACATCGTTTAATCATGCTGTAAAGTGAAACGTCACCAGGCCATTGGCGCCCTTCTGCAGGTATTTGTTATAATACGTAAAATGTAGTTAATACATAAAATGTAATGTTCATATTATGTATAGGCATATTACATTATGTATTTTAACAGTGTTGTTCAATAAAACCATGTAATTACTTGTAATGTAATTTTTTTATTTGAGCCAATTATTATTGCCTCATCGTTAGTTTATATATAAATAGTCATATTAAAGCCTGGTTTTCACTTAGGTCTATTTGTGTTACTAAAAAATATCAGATTACTCAATTACCAAAATAATCATTAGTTACAGCCCTAGCTTAGTTAAAATATTTCAAAATACAACTGCATTGTTTTACTTTTTGTAATTAAAAGACAAATATTTAGTCATTAAAAATGTCTTAAAAATTCTATTAGGATATTGTCTGGTTCTAGTGAACCAAGTATCTGTATTTTGTCTCATCTCGTGAGCTAAGTGTATTGTCACACCCCTAGTGTCGATAAGCAGTCATATAGCTGATAATTTTCAAAGTGTATAGCTTTCATTCTTCAGGGCAACCATATATTCATGAAAAAAAAAACAGTTTGAATAAGGAAAGCAATAACTTTGCCATAGTATCTTTTCAAATATTAAAGTTGCCGCAGTCATGTGCTGCCCCAACAAACCCCAAGTGGGGCAGTTCCAACTTTGCAAGGACAGTCTGGCGCTTCTGACTCACAGACTGTAAGTACGTTTTCATATTTAAAGGATTTGCCACTGATGATTCAAACGTGAGTTTTGAGCAGTGTAGAGTAGCGCTTGTTGTTTGTCATTTCTCCGATCACAAATGCAGACATGGTTTTATGTTTATGCGGCGCGATGCAATGCAATGCGTAAAAAGACAGTATAAGTCATTATAATCAGTAATTATGTCCCCACTGGATGCAACAAATGCCTTGTTTGTAACGGGT